GCACCTCACCCGCTCCAGGTCCCCCCTGCTCGCACCCCCCGCTCTCCACCCCACTCCAGCAGACCCCCCCTGCCCTAGATCCCCCCCTGCTCCAGCTCCCCCACCCCGCTGCTGCACCCCCCCGTTCCTCCGTCCTGCTCCAGGTCCCCCACTGTTCCACCCTCCCCGCTCTCTTAGCCCCCCACTTTTCCACTTCTGGTGCCCTCCACGACCACTGATCCAACCCCTCACTGTTCTATCCAGCCAGCTCTCCCCACCCCCACTACTTTTGCCCCACTTCTCCAGCCCCCCATTCCCCCAGCTCCCCCACTGTTACACCCCCTGCTGCACCCCCCAATGTTTGACCCCACACACTCTTCCACCTCCCACTGCTCCAGCTCCCCATCCCCCACTGTTCCCCACCACCTGCTGCCCCAACCCCCGTTTCCATTTTTTTCCCCCAACAAAAAAACCCAAGAGCATTTTTAACCAAAATGCAAAATTTTAATTTTGGTCAAAAAGTTGTTTTTTGTCAGAAGTGTGTTTTGATAGAAAAAAATTACGCCAGCTCCATACGGGCCCTTCCCTGCCCCAGGCCAGCTGGGTAAAACTGGTTGATTTTTTTAATTTTTTTTTCACCATCAAAATGTTTTTTTTTGGCATCCGCCTCAAATCCTCTGCCCTGGCTGGTCCCAGCGGCAGCAGTCTGAGGCCTAGGCCTGGTTTACCACACAGCTACAGCGCTCAGGGGGTGAAAGCGTTACACCCTTGAGTGCCGTAGCAATGCTAATCTAACCCCCAGTGTAGACAGCCAGGTCGAGGCTGCCTATGACAGAAGAACCCGCTGCATGGTTGTAGGAAGCATCTACACCCCTCCACCACCACCCCTCGGGCACGACAGCAATATAGCTCCAGCGTCAGAGATGTGTAGATATGGCCCTACGCTAGGAGTGCTTTGCTAGTCTATCTATCCCAGCATACTGTCCTGGCAAAGCGCTCCCAGTGTGGACGTGGCTTCTACCCTTATCAGTCTAGCCACCTGCGTCTACACTAGGAGCTTTCGGCAACACAGCTCTGTCGGCCACAGATCACAACCCCATCCCGCCCCGACCGAGGTAGCCGTGCCAGCAACAGTCTGTAAAGCAGACCCGGACTGAGATTTGGGAATACCTCTCCTCCAGCTCTGTCTCTGCTACAGCCACTCGCTCTCCTATGCTGGGAGCAGCTGTCTGCCAATTACAATTTGGCATACACAGACTGCAAGCTCTTTGGGGCAGGGACAGGCTGTGTGAATTTGTCCAGCGCCTGACACAATGGGGCCCTGACCTGACTGACACCTGTAGTCGCTATCCCAATACAAATGTAATAGTCACGCACCGACTCCTGTGTTCGGTCCCAAATCAGCCATGTTTTCAGCCCTTTTTTTTTTTTAATTGATCTTAGCTGCTAAGTCACAAAACCCAGCCAGATCGAGCAGGACCCCAAACACACCTCTCCCCCAGGTCTACCTTAACACCTCCAAAATCTGTGTCCTACAGAAACGTTCTTGCGGGATCAGAGGGGCGTTTATCTGCACTGGGATCAGCCAATATTTGCGTCAGAGGCGGTGAAACGAGACTTCCCGGTAATCCAGGAGTGGGGCTGTGAAATCAGCTCACAGAAGTGCAATCTCCACATTGGCTTTTAGTTTTACCCTCCCGGCACTGACTTTGTGGGGCTCCTTTTCCAGACGGGAACCCAGCTCCGTTGCTGTGGTGGTCCCAGACCTTGTGCTGTTTGAGAAAATCTGCCTGCGGGGATCAGAAAGAGATGGCCACCGGACAAGCCCTCCTGCTTTTAATACTCATCGGAGTAGCCGAGCCCGGGGCAGGTCGATGCCCTGCCTGCGAGACGGCAGCCCTGGCCCCAGACGTGCAGAAGACGTTCCTCATTGAGCTAGCAAAACGGAGTATTCTCTCCAAGCTGCACTTGAAGGAGCGACCCAATGTGACCCAGCCAGTCTTCAGCGCGGGCCTCCTGACAGCTCTGGGGAGGCTCCGTGTCGGGCGCACGAACCCGAGCGTCACGTTGGAGATGCCGAGCCAGAGTCCCAAGACCGATGAGCAAGACTATGAGATTCTCAGCTTTGCTGAGCCAGGTCTGTAAGGTCTCACGGGGTGTCTCAAGGGGTGCTGCAGGGGCATATCGTGGGAAAGAGACATCTCCCAAGAGGGGCCTCTGCAAGGGGGCATTTTACCCCATTGCAACCCCAAAAGGGTACAGGAACATAAATCACTCCCCCAAGCACTTACATTCAACCTTACACCGCAAGGAAATAAACACATAAGAGTAGTTCACTGTCAAACTGGGGGAGAGTGGGGTCCTGCAGGGGTAAGCCCTGGGTCTGGCACTATTCAATATTTTCATCAGTGACTTGGGTAGTGGAGTGGGGGGAATGCTTCTACAACTTGCGGATGACATCAAGGTGGGAGGGGTAGCAAGCTTTGGCGTTCAGGTTTAGAATTCAAAATGACCTTGACGAATCAGAGCATTGATCTGAAATCAACAAGATGTAATTCGATAAAGACAGAGGGCAAAGTACTTCACCGAGGAAGGAAAAGTCAAACGCACAACTACATGTTGGTTGCGGGGAGGGGAACTGGCAAGGTGGCCGTACTGCTGAAAAGGGTCGGGGGGGAGGGAGAGTGGATCACAAATTGCCGATGAGTCAACAACGGGACGCAGTTGCGAAAAAGGCTCCTGTCATTTGGAGATGTATTAACAGGAGTGTCGGATGTAAGACATGCGGCGGGGGATCAGCGGGCGTGTTGTGACCAGCTCTGCGCACCGCACTTTAGGAAAGATGGGGACAAACTGGAGAGAGTCCAGAGGAGAGCAGCAAAAAATGATCAAAGGTTTAGAAAACCTGACCTCTGAGGAAAGGTTAAAATAATTGGGCAGTCTAGAAGACTGAGGGGGGACCTAATAACACTCTTCCAGTGTGTTAAGGGCTGTTATAAAGAGGCTGGTGATAAATTGTTCTCTGTATCCACTGAAGGTGGAACAAGAAGCAATGGGCTTCAGCAGCAGCAAGGGAGATTTAGGTTTGATATGAGGAAAATCTTTCTAACTATGAGAGTAATTAAGTTCTGGGATCAGCTCAAGGGAGGTGGTGGGATCCCCATTGTTGGAGGTTTTTAAGAGCAGGTTGGAAAAACACCTGTCAGGACACGGCAGCTGTTCCGCCCCAGATGCAGCTCCATGTTCAGAGGGCGTTGCTGAGTGCATGTAGCTTGTAAAGTGCTATGGGATCCTTCACTATCCCAGTTTAAACAGGATTAATTTCTCCTTCCCTGGAAATTCAGCCGCCTCTGGGGTGGAACGTAGCCCCGACTCTCCCTCAGCAGCACTAAACCCACTGGAGGCGAAGATCAACGTATCCAGCTGAAATACCAGGTGCTTGGGATAAAAAGCGACTTCCCAATGT